TTATATTCCAACATGTAAGTTATGGGTAAAGAAGATCTTTGCTACTTACTATGCTTCTATCAATGAAACAAGAATTATATTCACTTCCCTCCTCTCCCCTTTTCACTCTTCTATCTTAGTTACTTTCTTGCTGCTTAGACAAAACTCTAAAGAGGAAAAGCTTATTTTAGCTCATAGTTTGTATAAGTTTCAGTCCATATTCAGCTGGTTCCAAGGCAGTGCAGCATGAGAGAAGAGAAAGAGTTCATGGTAAGACAAGCAGGAAGCAGAGAGAGATGGAGGAGGGAGGGAGGGAGGTCCTTCCAAGCCACATTCCCTGGGATCACCTCCGCCAATCAGCTTTCATCTCCCAACATCACACTTAGCAATAAACTCATCACTGGCTAAATTAACTGAAAGATTCCACACACTGATGAGTGACTCATGCCCAAAGACCCTGAGCACATGAGGGCTTGGGAGGACATCTAGATCTAAACCATAACACCCTTCCTTCCTTTTCCTTTATGTTCCATCTCTTTTCTCCCTCCCTTCCTGCATTCCTCTTCTAGCTCCTCCTTTCTTTTCTTTCTCCTTCCCTCATTATTATTTCCTCCTTCCTTCTCTTCTTTTTTTTGTTTCGCTTTAGTAGTTGCATCTGATTTACAGTAATAACTTTGTTCACCAACACTTCTTTTTGTTAACAGGAAGCATTTGGATAAATTTTTACTTTGGAGAACTCCACATCAAGTAAGGAGCACAACCAGAATCCCAGAATAGTCATCTTCCTCGCATGAACACAAGCTCAGCCTTCTTCCCCCGAATTCTGAAACAAATTAAGCACCTCCACCTAAGAACCTCTGTATCTTGAATTTTTAGTGTTTTGATGTTTTTCAAAGCAGGTTATAAATACAGAAACATGAATTTAAGTTTTGGATCCACCATTTATCAGCAAGAAAGTGATTAATAAATTCCTAATGTCTCTGTGCCCCAGTTTTTCCATTTGTAAAATGGAGGGAATAATAATATCTAGGTTTATTCCACCTTATGTTTAGTTGGAAATTTGATGAGGATAACTTTCTAGGTATTTTGAAAGTACTTATTTCAGTCTTCTGGTATTGCTTATAAGAAATCACCTGGCTCTTTACTTCTCTTTTCTTGATTATGATCGGCTGTATCAGCACTGTCTTAGCTACTTTTCTTGATGCTGAGGTAAAATAGTCAACACCTAAGGTTAAAGAAGGAAAAGTTTATTTTGGCTGACAGTTTGTAGAGGTTTCAGCCCCTAATCAACTGGCACCAAAACAGAGTGAGATGACATAGAAGCATTATGGAGGAGAAAAAAATAGTTCATAGCATGAAAGGCAGAAGGCAGGAAACAGTAAAGGCAAGAAGCAGTAAGCCAAAGCAGTAGCTCTTTTTCGGTCCTTTGTAAGTCTATCCAAAATGCATACACTTAGGGCAGGTAGAACTTATATCCAAGTTGGGCTTTCCCATTATCCACATCTAGAATTATGCCAAATCAATAAGTGGACAAATTTAGCAATCATACACCCCTAATACCGGCATCACACACTTTAGGTTCAGCCACCTCTAAAAAAAGGCTCACTTACAACTGCATGAGGCTTTGGAGGAACATCTAGCACAAGCCATTACAAGCATCTTCTGTTCTCAAAAGCTTAAACTCTGTTTATCTTTGGAAAGCTGATGGTATGCTTACTTCTGTTAAGTAAAAGATGTTTTCCTTTCATCAATACCCTAGATTTAGATGGATAGGCTCCCTGGGGGTAATGCTTGGGTCTACTTCATTTATCACCTAAAACTTAGCTCACTGCATGCATTTAACATGCAATGGACATTTGATAAAAACTTGTTAAATACATGGTAGGTCCAAAGTTGAAAACATATTTAACAACACAAATATTAATGACGTACATTCAAATGTATTTAAAATGACTGACTTTTACAAGGATAAAAATATACTGTGATCTACTTTGATTTAACAGAATATCTGTTATTGTGTCTTTCCTTGCAGACAAAATGTTAAGGTCTGGTTCACTACACAAGTTTTCTTTCTTGGTCCTGAGACAATCTGGAAATGCAGGTGATAAATAAGGATGTTTTGCCTCAAAGATATGCCTGAAATCATTCCAGCGAGGAATGGTTGAGCTGAAATTAGAACTTAAAGCTGATGGTAAAGTACAAGATTCTCACTTGGTTCCTGTCCAAATGTGAGTTGCTTTCCTGAAGCTCACGTATTCCACCTGTGCTCATTTCTCCCTCTGTGCCCCAAGGCAGGCATTTATCACATGCGATCATCAATTTGTCAGGATCTCAGCAGACATTTTTCAATTATCCTTTGTCTCCCCTCGTTTGGACCCCCACTTATATATTTATGTTACTAAGCAAATTATATATATATATATATATATATATATATATATATGTAATGAGAATTATGTTATTTAATGTTCAAATAAAATAACTAACATTCCTTTTCTTGCTTAGTCAAATCTGTGCTTTGTAGTACAGAATGGAATGAAATTAAAAGAGAATATTCCTTGTTTTTATATCCTAAAAGACTCTATACACATGAGGCTTATCAATTATACACAGAAGGTTTGTATTTTAGCTTTTAAATCATTTTTTGTCTGAGTCTTTTGATATGTAATTATCTGGAGCATCAAAACATATTAATATTTTTCTCATGTTTATATGGGATATTATTAGAAAATTAAACCACAAATTTCAACATCTAAGAAGAAATCATTCATCTACTATCCCCGCAGTCAAAATATATTACTAAAGTTAGTTAAAATATCTTATTAAATATATATATAATAGAATATTTTAATTTGGGAAACTAAATCTTTATATTATTATTGTTTCTTAGAAGTTTTAAAAATAAAAAAATAATTTGTTTCTCAAAATACAACTTTGCAAAAAAAATACAACTTTGCAAATCAAAGTTTATTCAAGGTTAGTCTTTATGACAACTAAAATTTCAAGGTAATTTTTCAACTGTTTTTGAAGAGTTGATTATAGTTAAGACATTTTTCAACCCTATAAAAAAGTCAAAACAAGTTGAAGAAATATAGACCAAGCTGACAAGCTACCACGGAGCCCCCTGAGAATGAAACATAGGATCCATGTACAGCTTTTAGTTACAAGATCAATTTTCATAATTCAGCATTACAAAGATCAACATAATGTCTCTCCTTTATGCTCTTGATGGAAACAAACACAGGAACAAGATTTTTACCTGTGAGTAGGTTTAAGACATAATAGTTTCCAGTTTAGGAAGCCACAGCATAGATGACTTTAAAGATGTATTTTAGAAACCAGTTTAAGAGCACTATTGTTACAAACAGAACTATCTGTGGCTAGTTTTAAAATGCTTCTCTAAAACAAGGACAAAGAGAAAGGGAAAATATGAGTGTACGTGATTTCTACATGTTGAGCTCAGTTTTCTACAATTAAATATTAAAAGAGTAAGTTCAGCATGACTTTAGCTACTTTAAAAAGTCAAGATAAACTTTCATAACTGAGGAAGAAAGAGATAATTCTAACAGTAACACACAGATTTATTTCGGTATGTATATATTTCTTGCCTGGAATGATCCAGAATACCTATTATTATACTAAAATGAATTACTTATCAATTTAACTATACTATGCTCTCACTGCCTCACTGGTATGTATGGTAAAAACATACATGGAATTCATATTTATAATTTTTCATAAATACAAAGAAAATCTAATGAAGCAATCCTTGAGTCATTTTATGTTTCAGCTCAAAGCTTAAATGTAGTGAATGTGAAAACCAGAAGCAATCACTTGGTAGATGAAGCAACTCTGTCCAATGAGGTTAATGATACTTGACACATGAGATTGTGTGTGTTTAGACTGCTAAGGGAAAAGGGATAAATAAACTGCAGTATTTGAAAAAAAAGAGTCAAAATGTTGCTAGCAAGACAACTAGACTTTAACTCAAAACAGTTACTCCAGCTGCTGGTAATGCCAAAATTACTCACTTGGGATAGATACTGAAATTATAATAGTGATTCAAACAGTAATACTATCATGAAATGCAGACTTCCAGCAACATATTGATTGTACTTCCCTCAGCTTATAAGCAGAATTATATTCAATAATATAATTGTAAATGTGTACTTATGTAAAATAAGTTATATTTTCTTGAGTAGTATATCCCTCCTACTTACAATAACCAGGTGTTAATCAATATACATTTAAACCCTTCCTTTCTTTATTTTTTTGACATTGTCCAGGTGTGATACTTGAGCATTTCATTTTCCTAACAGAATGCTTCCAAAGTTTTATTGAAAGGTATTACAGCCCAGCCTTGTTCCTGTCAGACTGAAGGCTTGTGATTGGATATATCACACATATTCGGCCAACACAGTCACATAAACATACGTTTTATAAATTATTATTGGGCAACCAATTAAAATAAAATATTCAAAGCTAGTTCAAATAAAATACAAAGAATTATTTCCGATTTAAGCATAGCACATTTTCACCCTGAATGAGATTTTAGCCAAATGTATACTCTTTCTTGTAAAACTCGTTTATTCCAGCAAGTTATCAAAGAAAAAGAGAAAGCCAAGATTCATTTATAGAAAAGCAATATGCAAACCAGGCATGCCATATAATAAGAAGTTTGGGAAATAACTTCGTCTTTGAAATGCAGAATCATCTAGAAAGTTCATCGAAGCGTTCTTTTAAGCAATCGAGTACCAGTCATTTATAGTCTCCTAGATTCTCTCCCAGTACAGACCTTCACTACTTTACACTCTGTTTGAAGTCATAAAGCAATTGAATGGCCCTCTATATTTCAGAAAGCAACTAATTTCATACTGACAATGAACAGATCTAATCAGAAAATAAAATGATGGCAAATGTCTCTCAAGAATGCCAATTACTTATGATGATTTTCTTTTCCTGAAGACAGAGGGAAAGAGGTATATAAGCAAAACGTAGTTTAAGCCCTTGAATTTACTTACCAATTTCCTAAATGCAGGATCAATAACAAGAACATCAATCTCACCCCTTTACTTTGACTCCACAGAAGAAAGGAGGAGAAGAGAAGAGCTTCCCAAGAACCCATCTGGTCTCTTTTTCTGTTGAAGCTGCACTAGCTGAGAATCCAAACCAGCACTTTTCCTCCCACCTCAGAAGCAGCAGAGTAGGAGCCGGGCAAGTGTGGAAAGCTGTACACCTCCTCTCCAGGTAGGATGCGACTCCCAGCGGAACTGAACGGGAGCCAATCAGAGCGAGAGGATGATGGCATTAATTATCCCGAAAAGAGCTGGGCCAATCAGTGACCCGAAGAGGCGGGGCTTCCCCTACTAGAAATCGAGCCCAGTGGGGAAAAGGGCTCCGTTTTTCTACTAGAAAAATAAACCACTTCTCCCTTTCATCCACAGAGAAACATTTGAGTGGCTTTGACAGAGTCCCTCCGGGGAGCGGGAGGGCGGGGAGGCTGTCTCTCTCTTCCCGCCAGCCTTCGCTCTTGTTTCCAGGCACTGCCCCATTCCTGTCCTGTGCTTGGATTCTGTTTCTCTGTGGAGACCCAGGGAAAGCAAGCCGTGCCTGATTGGTTTTCCCCAGGCTCCTGAGGATTCTGTTAATCTGGGTTAATTATTGTCTGTTAACTTTAAAGATAGGGCGGGATCTCTTTTCTGTAGGCAGACCTAGTAGCTGACATAGTGCCCCGCACAAAGGAGCTCAGAAGATGTTTAACATATATTTGAATAAACGAGGGAATGAATGAATGAATGAATGAATGAATGAATGAGAGGGTTCCAGCGTTCTGTCCACCCACTCTACCTGCCCCGCCCCACCGTCGCCTCTACAGCAGCAGGATTTGCAGGACACTTTTCCCATCAAGAACTGAAACACGTCGCTAGGGAAGAATAGCAGGCGAGAAACGATCTCATTTTACAAACATAAGAAAAATCTGATTTTGGAAAGTCTGTTTTACCCTTAGGCATTGTGGGGATACTACATGAGTAATCTTTGCTCTCTTCGCCCTCCCTGATTGCCTTTGGGTTTGTGGAGCTCCAGTGTTTGGTACCTAACTTCAGAGGCTCTGCTTTGAGTTCCTACCGAATCCCCACAGTTGTCATAGCAACCAGAAAGCCTCTGGCAGCTGGAACAACTGCACTAGCATGAAGGCGGCGGTGGAGAGACAGGCTCCGTGCCCAGCCATCTTCTGCCTTTACGTCTCGCTAAATCCCTGTTTCCCACGGAAGTCACCTGTGCTTGGGGATCTTGGCTGTCCCATTAATCACTCCCAACCACCTGGAATTGCTAAGCCCCAGGGCTGACGTGAAATGTACCCCCTACTTACTTGAGAATATTTGTTTCCCAGCAAACATTTCGAGCCAGAAGTAAGTGTCTGCGCATGGCGGTAAGGAAACTGTTGCTATGCTGCCCGCTGAAATCACTTAGAGGAACCGAATGGGGGTAACAAGGTCACTGATTTTTTTTTTTTTTTTTCCATTTCTTGGTGGTGGAGATTGGAGTGCTGGACGTTTCTCTCGTTTATGTGATTTTCCACCCTTTTAATCACTAGTGAAAACAGGCATTGACCCTCTTTGTCTTCTTCCACTCAATATTAATTAGACAGTATTTTTCTCTTTTAGAAAGCATGTTAATCAGAGTAGTTTATGCCAAAAAGATTATAAACAGTTAAGGCTTTTCATAAAACATTTTGAACTCACTAAATTTAAATAAAAAGAGATAATATAAATTCAGATTGTTCTAGGATTTCTTTTTCTCCCCTCCACCCATTTCAATTAAGAACGTACTTTGGATAGTTATTTAACAGTTTCATTGGATGCACAAGTTAATTCACTGATCTGATTAGCCATGGAAGCAGGAATTAATTTACTGGAAGTATGTGGTGAATAACAAATACTTGTCCAGTTACCCCTTGCATTTTGCCAAGATTAGGCAATAGTTTCACAATATCAGTGGGAATATGATATTGCCTAATGTCACATCACATACTTAATAATCTTCTCATCAGGAATTCTCAACAAAGTTTTAATCGTACTCTTCTGAAAATGAAATTGAAACACGCTGAGAGCACTTAAAGAGAAATTAATGGAGAGGAAAGGTGAAGTATATATCCTTAGGTCGTAATACAGTGCCTAATAATTCTTATAAATAATAAAGGATTAGAAAAAGGAGAACATTCTCATATTTCCCTAAATCTGTTTTTATGCCAATTTTGTTCTGATTTTTCAACTTGTTTTCTTCTTTTTTTTCATGAAATGTTATCTGATTCTTTAGTTGTCTATCTGTATCTCTTTTTTTTTTTCATTTTGTAATGTATGTCTTCTCAGAACATGATTTTAATCTCCTGTTACAACTAGAAGCTACATAAAAGGTACTTAAACCCTCTGGAACCTCAAAAAATGGGTGATGACTTTGTATATTGGCAATATCTTGGCCCTAACATTCTTTCCCATTTGATTTCACAAAGGAGCTGTGTGTGTGAGTGTGTGTGTGTGTGTGAGTGTGTGTGTGTGTGTGTGTGTGTGTGTGTGTGTGTGTGTGTGTGTGTAAGTATGCATTTTGGGATCTATGTACTGTAAAATCTAAGTATAAACAAATTAAGTATGCTGAACTCAGTAGGCAAACTGCAATGTCTCATTGAAGAACACTCAAGGGGAAGTAGGTCAAGTGTCTTGTTCTACATTTTAAGACCAGAAGTTTGATAAGTAACTGTAGAAAGCTCTCTGACTTCCATCGTGACTGTGGTTTTTAGTTAAAGACAAATCAACTCCATGAGAATTTGAGTTTTCATTAGTCACAACTTATGTATGTGTATTAGAGCATGAGCTACTGGTATTTAGTGAATACACATTAGATTTATTGCAATATAACCTAAAAATGCACAAAGAACTATGGTATTCAAACTGTTAATAATTCCAAGAGCAGAAAGTGTTTCCATAAGAGTAAAGAGGATAGGTAAGCAGACTCAATCTCACGTGATTATTTGCTTGCACTCTTATTCAAACAACCCTTCCCTTCCTCTTTCTTTCTACTGACTGGGCCACTACCATTATCCAGGATTCTTATACCTAGTGGTAATAACTATCAACTCATAGAGCACACCAGCTTTCCTATTATCCCCCCAAATTATTCATGAATCATTTTAGAATAAGACACTTGGGATACTTAAAAATGCAGATTCATGGGCTTTATTCTAGATTGAATTAATTAGAATTATTTTAGCAAGAACTCCTGCAGGTTTTCATATCTCAGAGATTTGAGATTGGTTGTTCTGACATCATTTCACCAAACAAATAACAAGACTGTGAGATAATCATGTATATACAACTGTAGCCAGCAAAATGGAGATTCAGCCTGATTCATCCTTTACTGTCCATTCATTCAAAAATATCCATTATGAAACTGTGGCATTTGGCACTATTGCTGGCATTAGGAATACAATGATGAATGTGGCTTATTTCTTTGTGATCTGATTCCTTGTTTTATAAAATAAAGTATAAGAATTCTACTTAGCTTATAAAGTTGTTATAAAGATTAAATAAATGAACAAATGGAAGTCCATTAATATAGTGCATAGATAATACGCATTACCAAAAATGCTGATTATTGTTACTATCTCACAGAGGGAAGATCTCAGTCTAATTAATTCACTCCAGGCCCTACTACAGAACATTTCCAGAATATGAATTTAGATAAAAAGGACAGAAAGGATTGCTACCCTGATGTTTTCATCCAAATGTGGACATTGTCCTGATATCTGGTTTCTCTAAAGAGGACATTTTGCATTACATTCTTCTTCCCCTCATGTTCTCTCTCTCATCTTCAGGATCATAACTTGCTTTTCAATCATATCTCCTAACTCATCACATGCAACTGAATTAGCCTAGGAAGCTTTCCCATTTCTAATCTCTCCTTATCCTTTCTGATTAAGTTTAAGAGGTGTTGTTTTTTATCAAGAAGATTTTATTGATTGTTCATTGCATCCTAGTCCAAACTACAAGGCTATTCTAGTGAAAGACTTACTACTTTTTTTGAGTGCTGTGTATCACCAGCTATGGTTCTTAATAGTTTCATACTGTGAGTGAATACAGTTATCTACCTATCTGAAACAGATAATTCACTATGCATAATACACTATGCATCACATTTTCAGAAATTATCTGTTTGCCAATTATCCAAATTGTCAATTCTCTTTTTAAATTTTATATACTAATGATTAAGTCATTATTAGTAAATTATTTGATATGTTTATTTTATGTTCATATTTAACTAATAACTTATTCTCCTAGAATGAAACTTCATGAAGGTTGGGACCTTTTTTTTAATTCATGTTTTTTATCTCTGTTGTCCAAAACAATGGATGGTCAGTAATAAACATTCAGTACATACCTGTATAAGAATTCAGTGTAACAACTGTACGGATGAATAAATGAGCTTGGCTTGGTGCTTATACCTATAATCCCAGCACTCTTGAATTCTGTGGTAGAATGATCATAAGTTCAAGTCCACCTTGGGCAATTTAGAAATTTGTTGAGACCTTGTTTCAACATGTAAAAAAAAAAAGGGGGGGCTGTATGCATTACTCAGTGATAAGGTCCTGGGTTCAATCTCCACATAATAAACAAATGAATACCTTTAATTCTTTCATATAATTTGGAGCCCTTAATGGATCTCTATTTTTTTCCTCTCTTTTTTTTTTTTTTTTTTTGTTTTTGTTTTGGTTTTTGGTTTTTGGTTTTTGGTACCAGGGACAAAACTCACAATCGCGTGCTTGCAAGATGGGTGCTTTTGCTGATTAGCTAAATCCCTGATCCTGATCTCTGTTTCTTATCCCATATATCAGGTGTCCATTTGCAAATTCCAGACTTTGTTGTTTAACTTAATCCTACTCATCAGACCGTATTTTAACTATTTTATGGTGTATAGGTTACACAGAATCAAAATTAACAAATTTACTAATTTATTTTATGCAAACAGTTTATTTAAAACAGAGCTGAGGTTCATAGGGATTACAAATAACTGAAGTTAAGCACATTTTCTTTGTTAATGTGTTCAACCTTCTTAATCTTGCTCCTGGACTCCAGAAAATAACCAAGATGCATGCAGAAGAAAGTCTTGATCGTAGGCAGAAAAGGAGAAATCTGTAGCTTTTGATCTTTTGGTCCTAGTAAAAGTGATCTAAGAAACAGAAGCTACGGGCCCCTTGATCCCTAACTTAAAATACCAGTTTC